GTCCTACCTCTAAACCATGATCTGGCAGTCAAGAAATGCACTGCAACATCTAATAACACCCCTGTCCTCAAAGGAACGGGCTGAAGTGAGTTCATATTTCCAAACTGCTCCATAGTATTCATTACTAGGAGAAGAAAATGTTGGCAAAAAGTATTTCCAGGGACCACAAGATTAGCTCATCTGTGTGGACACAAACCACACAACTTCTTCTCTGAATGCTATAGCTTGGAAAATTAGTTAATGTCCTATGTAACAAAGAAACAGAAGCATGGGTTAAACAGAAAGCATCAGCAATCCTGATGGAATCCACCATTGAGCTGCGTGGCTCCAGTTGCTCAGAACCAGGACTTGGAGCAATCCATGCTGCAGTTATGTGCAATACTGTGTTGTACCACTGTAGAAATGCTATACATTCTAGGGCAATATTCCAAGACGAGACACATGTGAAGCCCAGGTAATGAAAGGAAGACACAGTGCAAAACAAGCTTAAAGAGATTAGGAAGGAGAATGGAGACTTCAAAAGTGTAATTTATAAAAGCATTGTAACAAAAAGCTTTTTTGAAGTGGAAAAAATAGCAAAGGCGTTCTGCATTTGTAGAACACACTCTGAGTAACAGCAATGTTTATATGAAACATTCTGTGTAATGACAAAAGTCTGATGCACCTCCTGAGACAGATCCACTGCTGAGAAATATCAGAGCTAACAGCTTGTCTGCGAGATGCAACTTCTTACCTTTCCTCCAACACGTAAAAGCACGACGATGCTGATGGAAGATGGAACATACGCATGCTGTGCTTCTTTATTACCCCACATTATTATTAAAATCTTCATTAAAGGCAAATGAGAAGTGAAAACATGAGTGAATGACTGTGACCAGCAGATTCCCTAGGACAGGCTCCAAGCCTGAAACTGGCCCAACCTGCACGATGTGCACGAGTACATGGACACAAACACACACACACTGCTCTGTGCAGCACACTCTACACAAGCAGGAGTCAAATGTGTTTCCTGTTAAACAGATGTGGGTGGTCTGCTCCTCCATCTGAAGCAGCATCGCCTTGATTAATTTTGTAAAGCAACACAGTGCTTAATTCTATCTGAACAGCTCTCTGAAGAGCTCTTTTCTATCGAAGAGTATTAATATCTTTCAGCCAGTAAAATATAAAGATGAAATAAGTGTTAACCCATGAACTGAAGGTTAATGCAATTCACTCTACAAAGCAGTCCTGGAAGCAGACAGGGAAATTCAGCAGTACTGAACTGACAGCCAGACATAACCACAGGGATCCTATTAGGAGGACTTTTGGTGTCCATCGACACCACAGAACGTAAGGGCACAGCTCTTCCTTCACACAGTTAGCGAATCTACATCTCTTTCTTCCACCCAAGCCCTCGCTTTGCATTTCATTTGTAGATACTGACCTTGTCTCCTCTTGTCTAATTTGGCCAAAATTGACTAATGTGTTAAAAAATGACAGGTGAGAGCCTGCAGAAACAAGCGTGCAGATGCAAGAGAGTCACAGAGCCGAGGCACTAACAGCAAATGGGGAATCATTCATTCTATTTCCTTTCTATTCCAGTATTCCTATTTTATACAAGGATTACTGACAGTGGTGGTGATCTTGAAAGGGCTAAACCTGAATTTTGTGTTACATACTGAAAATCAGAACTGCTGGTGTCCTTGTATTTCATGAGAAAATGTCTATGTTTTCAGTAGGGCTGAAGTAATGAGCTACTTAATGACACAGAGTGCCTTTAAGTCATTTTGGTTCCTTGCCTAAAAACTTTCCTCACTACTGCTGCCACCCCACAAGCACATTGTATACCACAAATGAAAATGTATACTTCCAAAGATAAACTTTCATCTCCCTGTGGTGAACCTTATGCAGCACACCAAGAATTTTTCATAGACATGCATCCATTCGTTCTCTATAGCTTCTGCACATTAGTCAAAATACTTTCTATTAAATACAGATCTGGATGTCTTCTTTCTCTTCTAGAAAAAGAGAAAGGAAGAAATAGTTTTCCACTGGCAAAACTTAAAGAAACCTGAAACAAAAGAGAAGATATAATCCTTTATGCACTGGCTTGAGCACTGCTAGCTAGGATTGGTAAAAGCAAGGCTGATGACATTAGATTTTCATTTAAGTTTAAAACAACGCATCAAAGTAGTACTGCTCAGAGCACAAGCAAACTACAGTCAGGACAACAACATAACTTGGTTCCCATGCCAGCACTGCCCTCAGTTTTTGGTAGGATTTATGGAGCAACACATCACAGAATTATGGAATCATAGAATGGTTTGGGTTGGAAGGGACCCCAAGGATGGTGAAGCTCCTACTCACCCCCTGCCACAGGCAGGGCCGACAACCTTCCCATTTCATAGCAGCCCAGGCTGCCCAGGACCCCATCCAACTTGGCCTTGAACACCTCCAGGGATGGACAGGGCATCACAGCCTCTCTGGGCAGCTAGAACTTCCCCAGTATCCAACCTAATTCTTTCTTCCTTCAACTTCAAACCATTTCCCCTTGCCCTGCTGTTATCTACCCTTTCAAAGAGTTGACTCCCCTCCCGTTTATAGGCTTCCTTTAGGTCCTGAAAGGCTGCCATGAGGTCATCCCACAGCCTTCTCTTCTCCAGGCTGAACAAGCCCAGCTCCCTCAGCCTGTCATCAATAACATCACCAATAAGAACCAGATGGGCTCTGCAGTAGTGCTGCCAAGCAGGCACAGCGTGCCGGGGCTCTTCTCACCGCCTCTCTGACAAATGGAAGGATGAAATGGATGAAATCCTGGCACAGCTGAACTCGACAGGAGTTGTACAACGCAGCCAGAACCTCATCCTTAAATGTTATGAGGCCTTTATCCATATGCTCTCTCACATCACAGCAAATTCATAATCTGCCTCCCGAAACCGAATCGCATTTTAAATGAATTATTGGTAATGATAAAATAACACGAAATCATTGTTTGTGGGCCAGCGTTGTTCCTAGTAAATTTATTGCTTCATAAAGTTTACATGAATTCTCTCCAGTTGTCACTACAGATGCAAATCTCAACAGCCATTAACATCCAGGCACCCAAAACAACAAACTGTGGGCAGGTTCATGCAGGGCACAGTTGTTTCCAAAGGCACTCAGCCTCCAGTTGGTTACATACTGGCTCCCAAAAGAAAGCAATGCGCCAGTCAATGTGCAGAAGGAACTTTCAGAACTGTGCTTATGGCACAAAAGACACAAACCCAGCAGCTCCTGGGTCCATCACTCAGAATGCTGCTGCTTATGGCCTGCTGTTGGTTGCACTCCTGCCACTGCAAACCTTTCCCACATGCAGAGATCACCTCAACCATCCCATTTCTTAAGGATCACAATGCCTCACAGAAATGACATGCCCCTAGCATTAGCTCACACATTCCTTCCCAACATCCACCTTTTCAAACCTGTCTAGGTTTAAAAACAATGTAACGCAGTCATTTGCACTGATGAGATCAATAGATAGAATTTAGGAGATCCAAATTCCTTTGGATCATAATCTCCTCTACAAATACACATTTAATGTGATTGCAGTACAAGCCTGACATCTGCTTCAGGTACACAAAAAGACAATTGGCCTAATGCAGCAAACTGAATGGTTATTGCCTATTACATTCCCTGAGATAGCCAGTAAACTACTAGAAATAAAAACAGGTCAATAGGAGTTTATTTCTTGGCTCAGTTTAGAAAATAGAAAGCAGAGCAGTATCATCATCAAACACTCTTCTGTGTAACTATTAAACCCACTGCCTTAACAAAAGCATAAAAACAAAACATCAAATTCTTCAAACAGCAATGGAAATAAGCTCTCTCTGGCTACGTTCTTAAGCCTTAATTGGCATTTCAAATTGGCAGAGGCACACAAAACATTGTAGTGTAACAAATTATTCCTTCCCTACTAATCCATGGGTGACCTACATAAGATCTGGCTATAAAGAGTGAGATCTGGTTCAGTGAGTCAAGCTGGTCATTTTCAGACACACTCAATTCTACACTCATGTTTAAAGCTTTCCTCCCTCTACACAACATACGTAGAAAGGCATCACACAAGAGCTGAAGCACTGTATCAGATGCATGTCTGCAAGGCTTTCAAGCCTTCACCTACTTCCTTTGCAGTAAAATATTTACACCACAGCACGAGGAAGAGACTTGGCTGCCCTCAATGTATTCACCAAGTAATCCCCTCTAGAAGCCACTGTATCAGAGTGAGATGCATATATTCAGATTCTTTTTCACTCCTAACTAGGGGCTACGCTTACTGTATTCTGTATGCAAAACATTTTTAATACCTTTCACACTGCCAAAAGCTCCATCTGCAATATAAGTAATATATGCAGTAACAAACAGATAGCTTTAATTACCAAAAAGATTCACACACACTGCAGCAGCCAGCAGTACATCAACACGGTGTGAATTCTTGCTGTGAAGCCACAGACTTTGTGACACTTAATCTCTCTTCAAAAGAGATGGCAATTTTTTTCCATCTCAACATCAGAGTGACTTCTGAAATAATACACACAAATGACAAGTAAAAACCTGAGATGAAAGGCTATTATTGTGAACACATGAGCAGTATTTAAATGCCCCTGTTCACTGTAGGGAGTTGGACTAGAAGACCTGTCAGGGTCCCTTCCAACTGAAGAGGTTCTATGGTTCTATGAATAACTAAATAAATAACTCGTTTCCTTTTATGATCTCTTTCAATTTAGCCAAAGACTATTTGCTACACTTGGTGTGCTCGCAGCTGCTAGCTGCAATTAAATCTGAATTCAGATTTTGATACTGAGGCATTTCTGGCCCACAACAAGCTAACTTAAAGCAGTCCATTAGGATTCCTTCATAAACAACAGCTGAAAAACCATTTGTCTGGCAACACGCTCCGTTCTCACGTAGCGCAACTGCAAGAGGCCCACAGTTGCTGTCTTACCAATGCAGAATAAACCTGGAACTTTCAGTACTGTACTCACAGCGGATTCCGTATATCATGAGAGGATCGAGCTGCTTCTTGCCATGCTTCCCCTGGCCTGAAAGGTTGGAGATGGCCTGAATTTCCCGATGGAAGAGATAATCGAGCAACGTCAGCGCCATCTTCTCGGCCGTGCGGCAGTTGGTGCTGATGTGCAGCATGTCAGCAGGGGTGATGGGGCAACGGACCCGCATCTCAGGGTTATTTTCATCTCCAAGCCACGTCCCGTTGGGGTAATCCTCTAGAAACAGAGATTGTGGAAATTGTTATCGTGACCAGGAATGAAAGAGTCAGGTTCAGGTAGAAGCCAACGTTTAAGTTCTTCCTGTTTTCTCTGTAGTCTCCATAAGCTTCTTTCAGATCTAGAATGACCGATAGGCTCACAGTACTTGTTGTGGATAAAAAGTTAATTCTCAAAGCTGCATCAACAGAGAGCAAAGCAGTGACCACTAACATCCTGTTCTACAGAAGGAACCCCGTGCAATTAGTCCAAACATCTAATTCACTCTCACACAGCTTTCAGAAGTGTCTCGTGTTAGAAGCCAACAGCTGAAAGCACGCTGCATTCACCGTATTCAGTGCTCTCATTTTTTATCAAGTTAGTCATTCCCTAAAAATGAATTACTGCAACCCCGTAACATTCTCAAAGTATAGCTAATCCCAACAAGCCAGCAGCTTTGAACCACATTTCTCCCCAAAAGCATCAGATTAAAACAAGCCTAAGCAAGATTATAAATTTAAGGAGTTGTACTCAATAGTGGTCAGTACCTTATCTGATCACTTACAAAAACAGTATTTTAAGTAATAACAATCACTCAAAATGTAGCCAGAGATCCCAATCAGAATTTTGTTTTCCCCTCAAATTTACTGGCCGGCATTCTATATTATTTCCTAAAAACACAGCTTACCAAGGAATAGTCCCAGCACAAAGATAATAAATGAATCATTAGTCATCTCCCCAGTGCATATTCCCTTCTAGTCAAGGATGAGGTCATTAGCAGGGCAATATATTTTAATTTTAATCACTGCCAGAGCTACACCTAACTTCTCTGTGTGCACACATTACTCTGTATGTACATCTGCAGAAGATTTTTGAATTTGCCACAGTGTCTCACTTTGAGGGGAGCAAAAACTATTCACCTTAAGAGATGCCAAGCCCTCAGTGTAAACAAATCCTTGGTAATGCCAAAAGTTAGTGGGTATGAGACTAACAAGGAACTGGAACAGAGCTCAGAGGGATGACCAACCACTAATGGAGGATGGGATGCAACACATGACAGAGGGCAAGATGCTCGTTCCAAATGAAAGCAGGATTCCCAGTACAAACGTTGACAACATCAGTAGGAATTGGGAAAAACAACCAATGGTCACTGACAGAGGCCGTTTGATTTCTGTGTTTGCTCTTAGTAGAGTCAAACACAAAGCTTCCTCACTTAGGAACCCTTCGCTTCTCCCGCTCCAGAGCATTACAGCATCTTCCCACTGCTTCCAGAATGGCAAACATGGGAAAAAGGCAATCAGTTATATGATTTATCCCACACAAAATGCCTTCGAAATGGAGCTTTATGGCATAAACGAAGTCATAAAGTCCTGTTTTCCATAATCCCTTTAGTCAGCTAAGTGACAGAAGTCCAACAGACGAGCACTCTTCGTATTGAACCCCAAGCAATCAGCAGCTTTCCCTCTAACAACTGGTACACGCCATCAGCCCGCATTTCACCAGGCTGTAAGCCAAGAAGATACACAATAAAACCTACCATAAAAGCAGCTCCAACACACAGAGCAGTTTTTCAATACGACCTTCAGGTTGGGTCATACCACTGCTGTCAAATGTAATTTCATTGCAATGAATTATGACAGCATGGAGCAAACGTTAGATTGTGCAACGGTGATGTATCATCACAAAGAACAGATTATCAAATGTAATAACGTCTAAGGAAAAATACTTATCACTGACATACGGAGCAGCTAGCCCCTCCAATTTATTTCTGATGAAATCAGAATTTAATGCTCTGCTCTGAATAGATTGTTAGATGCCTCTTTCTATTCATACGTACGTAAAGTGCTTCATATGTATATTTTTGCTTGTACCTAAACTGTGTAATAAAGCACACGGGTGGTTTTCTGTCCACAGCACCAGGTGCCATCTGAAAAATAAGGTGGTTCAGATTAATTACGACTTGTTTTGAATGCCACTGTGTCTGGCCTTACCACAAGTCTGGTTAACATTATCAGGGAAAATAACATTCTGTTCCTGAAGACAAATGGAGTGTTTGATAAAAATTTGGACAGAGCTGGCAAAGCAAAGATGTCATTGGAGAGATGTGGATGTTTTCCAGAAGAAAACCTAGGAAGCAAAAGGAAGGTGCTACATGCCTTCCCAACCTCACTACTTTACCAGTTCACACTATTACCATTAGGTGTAAGTAATTAATACATTGGGAAACTTTCATCTGTACTCTTGCTATCAGCCTACACCAACCAAAGATTCTTATCAATCTGCAAAATCAACACTTGTGTGGTTTTGTCTCTTTTTCTCTACTGGCACCAAGTCCAGAACATACTGTTTTCACCACATGCAACTGTCCTTTTATTGCTAGCAGCCTGCAAAAAAGACACTGCCTTGTTATTCTGACCTATGAATGCAAGCCCCATGTGAAATTCTCTCTTGTATTTCCATCCTGCTTTAAGGATGAAAGCTGAAACTGAAAGCTTCCTTTTGTCTGCAGAAATACAAGGAATCATTAAAGAAAAATGATGTGCATGAAATTACCAGTGGTCTTTGCATACATCCACTCAGTGTTGACGCCAACACTTCCATTCAGTCCAAACTAAACTGGTTTGAATATGCCATATTAATTCATTTCCTGCAGCCTTCTAAATGAAATTCTTCCTGCCCAAATGAAACCTGAACAGTACCAAAATGCTGATGGTAATGAGAGTCTGATGATGCAGAAGAGCACGGTAACCTAACAAGAATTCTGACAGCTCTATGGATGCGTGCAGCCTTCTCCTCACCTCTCCTTTTCCCATGCACTCCAGGTCACGTATATAAACACATATGCATAACCATCACCCAAAGCCTTAAAAGCTGAGGTCCACAGGCTTTGCTGTGTAATCATTTAGTATCAGTGAAACTTACATGGGTGAAGTTACACGTGACCATCTTGCTGATCTACCTGATGGCACACAAGCTAAAATTCTCCATATCATGCATGAAAATATCTGACTTGTAAAGCAAGGCTGGATAAGGCTGTGGGCAACCTGATGGAGCTGTGGATGTCCCTGTTTGGAGTAGGGCAGTTGGACTAGGTGACCTCTGGGGGTCTCTTCCAACCCTATGGATTCTGTGATTCTATGAAAATATTAGCCATACTGAACTGTCAGCACATCTGGCACCTCGGACACAACAACTATGAAAAGACTGACATCCAAAATAACGGTGAGAAGAGGAAGCAGAGTGCCAGTTAGGAGGGAACCGGCTCTGAATGAGTGGAGAAAAGAGACTGAATAGGGAGAGGGACAAAAAGACAGAGTTTGATGGACTTTCTTTTCTCTGAGCAATTATTTAGCACATAAATACTATTGATTAAAGCTACTTTCATTCAAAGCTTCCAACACTCAAGCCTCCTTTTATGTTCACTGTAATGGCTCCTGATGTGAATCATCAGGCATTATACTTATATCTAGATGGGATCTAGATGGGCCGGGTTATTTAGTACATACGTTGCAACACTCAGATACTGAGCCAGGCCTCCACCAGGCACTGCACAACCACAGCAGCACAGCTTCTACTCTTTCAAGACTGCCAAAAGACAACAAACACTCAAAGGGCTGGGGAGCAAAAATACAGTCAGATAACAAGCTTTGCTTAAAAACCAGCGCGTATAAATGCACGCACTCATCTGTGTGTGCATCTGTGTATGCCAGGGTAAACACGAACCTTTTTGATTTCACCCCGAAGGATTTTTCTTTCATTAATTTTCCTAATGGCTCTGCCGTTCCACTTAAACTCTGGCATACAGAATGCACTCTGCAGAGGAGCTCCACCATGAGATATGTGCTGCAGAAAGGTGGTTCCTTGCACTTCTGTACGCCAAATACTGTATCACCAGCAAAGTGGCTCTCGATCATTCCTATTTCCAGTGTTAAAAGTCCTGATGTTTTTATCTGATTTGCTCTCTGCACTCAGAAACTCATTTCAATGACAGACAATCTAAGTTTCTGGTTTCTCTTCACTGTTTTTTTCAAGATCAGAAAATTTGCCTTTATCTCCATCCTGCTGAATCCAGAACTAGTTTGCTTTTCAATGCTGTTTTCAAATCTTTTTGACTGTATTAAGTCCATTCCTTTTATCTCAGAACACAGTTGACCGTTTCTCTGTGACCAGAGAACGCAATGGTTTCAGCAAGCACGTGTGAGCAGGCAGAGGAGGCTGGGGCTGCTGCACTGCCATGTACTGCTGCAGAAACAGCACAGGGAGCTTTGTGGTCAGCATCCAAACCCCAGTGCCAAGAGCACAGCCATCAGACAAGAGTCATTGCAGATCTCATGCCTGGTCTCACCACGCACATGTGCGTCCACCCAAGGAGATGGCAGACCCCGCGCTGCCATTCACATCTTTCCACTGGGACATGTTCCCCTATTCAACATGTAAGCACCAGCAGTAAGACCAGAAACAAAGCTGGGCTTTGCTCTCTCACCCTGTGCTGTCGACCATCCCTTTAAAACAAAGGCAAACAAGATGGAGCACCTGCCCACATAAATACTGGAATTAACCCATTCCATTACTCAGTGCGGCTGCATTTGAAAGGCAGGGTGGAAGCTGGTACTTGCAGCAGGAAAAAAAACCACCTGGTAGCTGCCATAGAAAGGCAGAGAGATTACTTAAGCTCAAAACAAAAAGAAACCCCCAGTCCTGGAGACATTAAGTAATATTCTGGCTAACCTGTAGGAGATTCTGCATCTTCTTAAGTAAACTCCTGTCAAACAGCTGGAGGGCTTTGGCCCTGCAAGGGTTCATGGGGGTGTGATTAGCAGAGAGCTCCCAATAATCCAAACTCAATGCTGTCCCATTCCTATAGCTTTCCTTGGCTTTAACCCATCAGTAAGTTCGTGAGGTCTGATCAGTGTGCTCACATCAGCTGTGCACACTGCTATTTTAAGGATGGAAAACGTTTGCTGTGTGAAGGTTCACTCTTGCTGTCTGCATGTGGACACGAGGAGCTCAGCAGGAAAAGC